CTCAATTATTTATGTAAGCACATTAGGCTCCTTAATTATTTTAAAAGTGATGGTTTTTCCTCCTAATATATTAAATTGACATTTCTACCCTTAAAGTAAACATTTTATTTATTTTACTTCTCCAACAAATTATTGCGTATATGTAACGATTACCACGGTTCAGTTCGAACTGAACCAGACACTATAACAATCGAAGTAAAAGTTTTCAGTTATGATTTAGATCTAGAATTTAATATTTGGATTTCAATTTATTAAATTTAAGAATAAAAAAACTGGATCATGAACCGTGAACCGGCGGTTCCGGATCCGGTTCGCGATTTTGAATCGTCTTTATTTTAAAATTTTATTTTTTATTTTAAAATAGTCTAAATTCAACAATAAATATATTTTATTTTTTCAGTTCAGAACATGAACCGGCCATTCCGGTTCGCGATTTTAATAAACTATAAATATCGCGTTTTGATTATAAATTGTAATTGGAATATTTTGGTTTGGTTGCTATAGTATCTGTTTGGTTTGAACCAAATTATAGTAATAATTTGTTGGAGAAGAAAAATAAATGAAATATTTATTTTAAGGGTAAACATGTCCATTTAACATTTCAAGGGGAAAAAGAGCCACTTAAATAATTCAAGAGGAAAAATTGCTATAAGTATATAACTTAGGGGGAAAAAGTGCCATTTTCCCAAGAAAAAAAAAAAGGCAGAAAAAAAAAAGAAAAAAAAGAATGGTGCAAATTTTATAACGTGGAACCAAATTAAATGCAAATCACCTGAAAAATTGACACCACTATTTGTCTCCATTCGTTCCCCGGATGTCGTCGCCGGTTGTATTTGTTAATTAAGAACATTCTCAATAGTTTAAGCTGAGATCATTTCTCTAATTTTTTGTAAGTTTCAGTATTTATATCATTATTGATTATCTCACTCAATTACAAAAAAAAAAAAAAAATTATTTATTTTTTTTAAAAATTCTCATTTTTTGGGATTCACCATTTTATTACACTATATTTTAATTATTTCTTTATTTATTATCATTCTAAAAATTATAATTGTAATTATAATTATAAAATTGATCTAATGTTATTAATAATTATAAATTTAATAATAATATTATTGATAAATATAAAATTTTAATTTAATTAATAATTATAAATTTAATAATATTATTAAATTTAAAAATTAATTAAATAAACTTGCAACATAAATTTAAACATTACTGAGTATGTTAAATTAAATAAATAAATAAGAACTGGAGTTGATAGCTATCACTTGCAGAGTGACAACTGGAAAGTTTAAAATTGAAGTTGGCGTTAACCTCTCCTCATGTATAAAAAAGGAGTCCTCCAAACTTAGAAGAAGAGGGAAAAATCAATGAAAAAACTCTCTTGTTATCAAAGTGTTCTAGTTACTATGAAAAGCTCTATGTTGTTGAATCAAGTTTCAAAGTTGAAAAGAAATCTGTTTGATTTCTTAAGTCCAACACTCAACTACAACCATCTTTTAGTCAAATTAAAAGAAATTGGAAAATCATCCTAGCAAGGCGACTTAGTGTGTGATCTTTGGTTTCTTTGATAAGACATTGAATGATAGGACAACTTCGTGATTATATTAACCCTTATCTCAAGGATTGTCAACTGGTAGATGATGAAGGATTCATGCCACTTTGTATTGGTGCACAAAATACTCCGTGGAAACCTCTTTGGAGTTGAGTAGAAGAGTTGAGTAGAAAAGTTCTTCCGAACCACTATATATAAAAATCTTTGTGTCACTTTGCATTTATTTTCCTTACTCTTATTGTGCAACTAATCCCATACTTACACATACAAACACTTCAAATATAATCATCAAATTTAGCTACATATTTTATTAGGTAAGCGTAAAGACTTTCACCGCAAAGAAACTCTTTTCTAGCTTAAATTTACAAATTGAAGCTCAGTTCGAGCAGACTCGAATATGTTTTTATATTTGTTAAAAAATCTATTCAACACCATCTTCTCCCCATCCCTTCATAAAATGTCAAGGGTTCGATCCTTGGCTTTGGGTATATATGGAACAGTCTTAAATCTCCAGACCAATTATTCCACCCAATAGAGGTGCCTATAATTCAGCTAGAGAATTAGTCTCTGTGTCGACGGCTCCCTCCCCTCATTCATTATAGTAATTAATTTAAAAGAACCAAACAATAAATCATTACTTAAAGGCTATCTTCTAAAAGTATCATCAACTTTACAAGGCCTTGTCTCAAATTTTACTTCAAAAGATTTGTCTTCGATTAGAAAGACACCACTAAACTCATGATTGATCGAGATAGCAACTTCTTATAACAAAAATACAGAAGAATGAATTTCTTAGAAGAAATCTACTTTAATTTTGTGAGAGGAGTTAGCATCATTTTATTTAAGAAAATATTAAAATTCTTTTAAAGAGTATTGTCACACTTTGTCATTACTTTTAACTTTAAGAAGTAATAAGTAATATTCAAATTAAAAAAGTATGGGGACATTGACTCTTTGTGCTCCAGTAGGTTAAGAAAGTATGTATGAACACACACACATACATAATTTACAGTACTCAAAACACATCTAATAGAATCATCTCCTTTATCTCCAATAAACTACTAACAATAAATATAACACATGTTTAAAGTTTCAGTTAAAATGATTAAATGAAATACATGATTTTTGTTACAATGTCTTTAACTTGTATGTTACAAATGAGTGAAATGCCCATTCTAACCATCTAGTGCCCAGAATTGAAAGGCAATAATCTCAAATACAAGTTGATGAAAAAAGACATTAAAAAAATACCCCCAAAAAAGTTTATTTTCCCTCCTGTCATCTCCTTAGAAAGTAGACATACAACAAAAGGAGAGGTGATGAGGGACAATAGTAGTGGAGAAAGGTAGTGAGAAACCAGGCTATAAAGCAATTTGTTGTTATTCGTTTTGTTATTTTTCCTGTCATATACAATCCCAGCGTCTTAATGTCAGTCCAAAACTTAAACGTAACTGCCCCGTATAATATTAATATTAATATACTTCAATTCTTTTCTGAAAATATATAAACAAAATAAAATAAAAAATCAATTCGATTGAACACTAAAATGAGGGAGACCGTATATAAATTAAAGGTGCTATATATATAATCAGAAAGCAATAGAGGAAACAAAAGAGTGATGCAAGGTCTAGAGTATTCAAGCACTATATATGTAGGGGTGGTTTCTTTAAAATAAAAAATAAAAAATTATTATTAAAGGCATTAATGATTAAAAACTTTGCTTACTATAAAGGTACGGTATTCGCATTTTACAAATTTTCAATATTTTGTGGTCCGGTCAATGATTAAAGTAAGTGCGCTCCACACAACATTAAAGGCAGCTACCATTTTTGTGGCAATTAATATCATATATGAACCAGTTCCACATAGCATTATAGACTATGGATTAAAACAACAAGATACATAAACCATATTTGTAAGATACATAATTTCATAACACAAAACATAAAAAATCACAACACAAGACACATATCATAGTAATTTGGACCCAGCTACATTTAAAAGACGAGGTATAATATTTATACTCGTAAGGTACATAATTTTATAACACAAGACACAAAAGATCATAACACAAGACACATATACATGCATGTTATATAGTTACTTATTTTGCCAATATGATTTAGGTACATAATTTATATTCAATTCATAGGCACAAAATTTCAGAACACAAAACACATAAATTCTTAACATAAGATACAATTACTAATTTGTTCCATTACAGAATTCATACTCATAAGGTACATAATTTCATCATACAGGACACAAAAAGTCATAATATAAAACACAAATACATGAATCAGGGTCCATAGTGCAGTGTGAACCCTGATCCATGGTAGCCTATGATTAATCTGATTATATATTATGTAATATGTATACATTATTTGAGGTCTTACGTTTGAATTACACTCTAACCCGTCACTGATGCTATGCTTTAGAAGTGATAAACAATTAATATATTAGTAATTATACTGAGTTAAGTGTTTAATAATATAAGCTGTCAATTTTAACAGCTTATCATAGTTGCTAGTCCAGTAGAAATCTAAAAATCGGTAATTGGTTAATTTCCTATAATATGTCTAATTATAACATAGTTTGTTTAACTCCTTAGATCTTAACCTTAATGAAATTAATTAAGAATTAAAAGGTTGGAATTTAATGTCATCATTCCGGCATGAAAAACTGGCATTTTGCATAAAGGAAAATACTATTTTTACTCTCAATTTTTAATCCATCCCATAAAATTTTGATAGTGGCATTTTCATTGGAACCCACAAAATGAGATAACTAATCATCAATTGTCACATAAGAAAGTAAAAGTAAGAAAGTAGAAATACGGAGTATAATTCCCTTTAATTTCAGTTGTTGGATGGGCTGTGGATTCAGTAATGATTTGATCCCACCTTTGAAACAAATTATTGTGTGGACATATAAATTGTAATACAAAGTACATTATTCTTGTATTGAATGTATATTATACAAAATAATATATTTTAAATATTCAAATAATATATTTTTTCTGAATACAATTTATATTTTAAATGTACTAAAAGTACATTATTTATATATTAAATGTACATTATTTAATAATATGACAACACTGTGTATGATCGCATCTTAGATCTCCATTCTTTTCTTTGCAATGCCAAAAAAATTAAAAATTAATAAATAAAAAGTGAAATATATTATTATCAATTGGCAGCATTACATCCTTAGATTCCATGGCCCCTCGTGGACTTCACCATTCATAAAAAGCACCTTTTGTTTATATTTTATTTATTTATCCTTAATTATTCTTTTTAAATTTTCTTGAATACTTTAATCCACTGCAAAACGAAAATATTTACTAAGAGCTGAGTAGTTTTTTTTTTATTTTTTTATTTTTTTGTAGAATAATAAAATACTATATAAACCACCTCCACCCTCCACACCATTTGGCCAAGTCCCATTTCCATCATACTTACAAAAATGATCAAGTCGTATCCGGCGGCGGCCACCAATATTTCCACCGGAGTTACCACCGTGGATTGCCAAAAGCAGGTCCGGTCATGGCGGCTCCTCCGTGCCATCATGGAGTTCCTTATTCCCAGCTGCAACTGCACCTTCGTCGAAGAAGATACCGACGACGAAAACTCCAGTCAGACCTCCGACAACTATCAACGCCGACAACAACCGCCCTACATCTCTTCCTCCTCCACCACCATCACCGGCACTCTGTTCGGCTACCGCCGCGGAAAAGTCAGCTTTTGCATCCAAACAAGCTCCAAGTCCTCCGCCGCCGCCGCCCCGCTCCTCCTCCTCGAGCTCGCCGTCTCCACCACCACCCTCGCCAGGGAAATGCGCGGCGGCGTGCTGAGGATCGCGCTGGAGAGCAAGAGGAACGGGTCGCCGGGAACGCCTCTTCTGTCGACGCCGGTGTGGAATATGTACTGCAACGGGAGGAAAGTCGGGTTGGCGGTGAGCCGCAGGCCGGGAAAAGCGGACATGGAGGTGCTGCAGAGGATGCGTTCCGTGGTGGTCGGCGCCGGAATCATCAACGGTCAAGATCTGAACCGGAAAGATGATATCATGTACCTGAAAGGAAAATTTGAGAGAGTTCATGGTTCGTCGGAATCGGAATCATTTCATTTGATTGATCCCGACGGTAATGTCGGTCAAGAACTCGGCATCTTCTTTCTCCAGTCGCGCCAGCATTGATGGCATGCATGCATGCATGTAGGGTGTTATTAATTACTCCGCACATGTTTGACTCACTGGGTTGGTAAGTTGTATTTGGAGAAGAGATTAAGGTTCCAAACTCTACAAGAACAATATGAGGAGAATTATATTCAAAGTGGACAGATATTCTGTGAACACCAACATTTGACCTTAACTGCTAAGAGTGAGTTACTATGATCTATATTCTTCTAAATGCTTTGTCCCGTCAAAGTATGGAGGATCTTGGGTTGGGATTTATTTTTTTCGGCTTTCATGTCATTGAATTGTTTTCCCTTGACTTGCCGTGTACCCTTTTTTGAGTCATGCTTTGTTGCATGGCTTTTCCACCGGCACCGGAAATATTGTTTGAGGGTGTTTTAGCAGCCGAAGAAAACTAGCTTGAAAAGTTGTACTCTTTTTAATTAAAGTATTAATAATTGAAGAAACTTCAATAATGTCAATAAATCTGGGTACTTGATTGTATGTGTCGTTATATCGTGCACCACGATACATAATTGATTATGCACCGCGCAGTGTTAACGGAGTGACACTATATTGTATTTAAACCGATACTGTCTCATGTATTATTTTTATATTATCAAATGAAATTGCACTTATATCAAAATGATACTGTAGTTGTGGTGAAATGAAACTGCAGTATATATAAAATGAAACGGAATAACATTTCACATATTTGAGTGTATATTGTACAATGAAGCTCTAATTATATCGAAATGATCATGTAGTTGTGTTTTAATGAAACTACAGTGTATATAAAATGAAATTAAATATCATTTTCACATATTTGAGTGTATAAATATTGATTGAAACTGTAGTTATATCGAAATGAAACTGTAGTTGTGTTGAACTGAAACTGCAGTGTATACAAAATGAAACTGAAGAACAGAGTTATTTTTTTGCGGATTCCGTTTCTTTTCCATTAAATAAAACAACGTTATTTTGATGCGCGGTGCATAATCGATTATGCACCGCGGTACACGATATAATTTGCCTGATTGTATTTTACCTAGAGGTATCTACGATCTGGTTCAAGGTCGAACCAGTCCTAAATAAATCCTAAAAAATGTGGGTTTGGGCTTCACCGGGTTTAGGTCTAGTTTAGCCCAAACATGAACCGGCTTATAGAGGGTTAGTTCATGTCTTAAAAAATAGCCCGGAGTCCAGCTTGAAATCCACCCAGGACCCGGCCCGAGCACAGTCCGAGTCCTTAACCAGCTCAGGTATGGGTCAAGTCCCGAGCAAATCTAGTATGGGCTTTATAAATTATAATACACTTTATAATATTTATAAGTTATCAAATAATATTTCAAGTCTTATAAAAAATTTTAATAGTACAAGTTCAAATGTTATTAAAGTCTTATAAATTTTTAATTTTGTAGAAACTCATATTAATTTTTTATTTTGAGATTAATGATTAAAATATTATTTTAAACAAAAATATTAACTTTAAAAAAGTGTGCGTGAGTATATATATATATATATATATATATATATATATATATATATATATATATATATATATATATATATATATATATATATATATATATATATATATATATATATATATATAGGGAAGGGTTCAGGTGCGGGTATAGCTTCCCGTGCGGTTGTGCGGTTAGATCTGAGCTGTTGATCAAATTTAGATCAACGGTTCAAATCAATAAAAATTTTTAAAAAAACGCGTGTCGTGAAGAAGATAGCGCCTACAGAGCGTCTACACAAATGAGTAGCGTCTGCACAACCTCACGCATATTAAGTACAAACCCACACACATTAAGCACAACCTCACGCACATTAAGCACAAACCCTACGCACTTTAAATATTAACTCACATATTTTAAGTTTCAACAACTATTGACTTTAAGCACAACCTCACGCACATTAAGTACAAACCCCACACACATTAAGCACAACCTCACGCACATTAAGCACAAACCCCATGCACTTTAATATATTAACTCACAGATTTTAAGTTTCAACAACTATTGACATTAAGCACAACCTCACGCACATTAAGTACAAACCCCACACACATTAAGCACAACCTCACACACATTAAGCACAAACGCCACGCACATTAATCACAGATCCGCTCACCTTAATTTCGACCTACATGCAAAAATTACAAAATTGCCACCGCGTTTTTTTTTTTAAAATTTTGACAATTCTGAACGTTGATTTAAGCGAGATGAATGGTCCAGATTAAATCGCACAACCGCACCTGGGCACTCTAACCGCACCATAACCTAATTCTCTCTCTCTCTCTCTCTCTCTATATATATATATATATATATATATATATATATATATATATATATATATATATATATATATATATATATATATATATTCGGCCTAGCCCGATACCGGTCCACAAGAGGCTCGACTAGGGACCTTTCCAGGTTATCCTTTCCAGGTTATCCTGGACTGGTCCTGATCAGTGCTCACCTCGGTCTGGACCCGGTACGAGATCTGCCCAAGCTCGAAATTTTACCACCTCTAATTTTATATGTGATAATAACACTTGATATAACATAACCAAAAAAAAAAAAGTATATATAATTATACACGATATTATAATCCCAATATAGATTTATATATATATATATATATATATATATATATATAATTATATTAGTTATCTAATATTTTTGAAAAAGTGTCGCTTTAAAAATACGTTGAGAGCACTCTAAAGTCTAAACTCATTAGATATAAAGGGTTGTGAAGGAGAAATGTTGGTTGGAGGGAGGGAATTAGATGGGAATGAAATTGTAATTTTATGGGGGATGAATAATAATGTGAAAATAAATTGATAATTTAAATTCTAGTGTTTAGTTTGCTTGAATAGAATTACTAAGAATTGCAATTTCAATGTTTGTATACATGGAATTGAAAGGGAATAAGTAGTATAAAATCTAAAATGTCTATACTTATTATTGTTGTTGTTGTTGTTATTATTATTATTATTATAAATCGTAATTGACCAAATTCAAATTTTGTTTTTGAAAATTTATATAACTAGTTGTAAATAAATTATAGAACTGCATAACAAAAGCAATAAAATAGATTAGGGAGTTTTGAGAAAACATATTTGATTGTGGTTGGCCTACTGATTGACGTTCTGTTTTGAGAGTATAAGAAGAAGACACGCTATATTCAAAATAGAGATGTTAAACATCAATTTTAGGTGTTTTTTTTTTTTTTTTTTTAAAACAGAGTCTCAAAGTTATTTTTTTTTTCTTCTTAAAATTCATAAAATTGAAGTATCAAGGGGGACATGGGATTCTAATTCAATGAAAACGAAAAAATTTCACCCTCCAACCAAACAAAGGAATTTGTTTGCCTTCAAAATTATATGAGAATGAAATTGTAATTCCATCCAACCATGGGTAATTTATTTTAAGTGAAAAGGAGGATACTCACCCAATCTATGCCTTCCAACCATGGGTAATTTATTTTAAGTGAAAAGGAGGATACTCACCCAATCTATGCCTACACTGAGGCTCAAAATCTAAACCTCTCATATAGGAGAGCAATCTGATACCAATAAACCACAAGCCACTTGGTAATTATGGGTAGCTTGTTAATAATATAACTCATAACGTATCACATTATTTCGAGGAAGATATTTGTTGCAAAAGATTTGAATACCCTTCTTTACATTCTCCGATCCACAAATAAATAAATAAATACTTCGTAAATAAACTCACTTCAATTGTGAGTTGGCTAAAATAAAATCCAAATAATATTGGCCGGCAGGGTAAGCTTATTGGATATAAATGCATGTACAAATGTTTGATTATGACATAAGATCAGACAACAAATAGAATAAAGATCACGACCGCAGTTCGATTCATAGCTGCCAAATCTTCTAATGCATGTTTGTTTCCTGACTAATAAATATGGAAATCATTCTTAGTCATTATAGGCTTAATTATAATTGAAAACTATAAAAAAAAAAAATGTTTAATTATGTAGCACGGGAAATATGGCACGGTACGAGATCAGTAATGAAACAATAGTTAAAATGTAAAACATAAAACAAAGAAAAAAAATGTGTAATATAGAAACAATATAATGCCATAATGGAGCATATTTGTAAATATTTTATATTTTTCCTTAAATATGTATAAATATTAATTATATATTATTTTATAATTAAAAGTAATACACTATAATAGGGGTATATATACTAAAAATATAGGCATATATAGATGACAACACTAAATAAAAAGAGTTAATTCTTTTCTTCTTTTTTTCTTTTTGCCCTAAATTTATAGATGTCATTCTACTTTTGTTTTTTTTTTTAACAGATTCTGTTCATCAAGAGAAATTGGCCGTCCGGCTAACGCAATATTCTCCACTAATATTTGCGCACGGCCAAGATACTTAGCTGCCGTACTGCTTCCTTGGCGTAAAGAATGGAATTGGCCGAGGAGACTTAAACAACGCGCGCGAGTGGAACTGCTCAAAGCCGTGGTGATGGATTCCCATACTTCCTGGGACGTCGCACGTCCTACCGCTAAATGCATTACCTCATCCGAGAGAGATGAGATAAGCAGAGACAAGATCGCTTGGTCTTGTTTGATCCACGCCTTATACTCAGGATTCGGGATCGGAGTCGGGGTGGCGGATGCGGTCGCGGACTGACCGGAAACTGGCGGAGCGGTGATGACCGGCGGTGGGCATGGGATTTCGCCATCCACAAACCCCAGCAAGTCTTGGCCACGGAGAAACGGTACTAGCTGAGTCCTCCAAAAGAGGAAATTGCGCATTGTCAATTTGATTGACACGAAGTGATGCGCTCCGGACAGAGGATTGGAGCCGGAGGTCGGAGACGCGCCACCGGCGGCAGTCACAGTCCTCTCCGACGAGTCACTCGACATGGCAGCGTACGGTGGTTGATGTTTTTCGGTGAGGGTGGGGGATTTTTTGGAGAGAGAATCGACCTGGTTGGCTGATACCAGATGAGAATGATAATCGTTGATTCAGATCTGAACAGATTACAATAGAATACTAAACAGATGAGTCTAACGTAAACTACTCCTATACAGTAGGCTAGTTAGACTAGTAGACTATTGACTTATTCTAATATAATTATAACAACTATATAATAGAAATAATAATAACATGGCTAACATAGAACACCCCATTGGTCATAACATTATTATTGCAGCATGACCATTTTTGATCATCCGTCAACAAATATGTTTAAAATATAATTAACATGAGAGTATTTCGGTATATTTAACATAACATCTCCCTGCTCTTCTTTGGTCTAATGAGTTAATTCTTCTAGCCTCTGTGGTTCATGTTCAGTTGAGTTACCATGATTTACATCCTCCCAAATGAGCTGTCGGGTCGGGGTGTGGGGGGCCCTTAGGGTTGGGGTTCAGCCTAATGGAAGAATGAGTTAATTCTTATTATGGTTTTAAATTTATGTGTCATTCCACTTTTAGTCTTTTCCTAAGCCACCACCACCACTACAACACCACCATCACCATATATTATTATTATTATTATTATTATTATTATTATTATTATTATTATTATTATTATTATTATAACAAATAATATGTTCATTTTCAAGAAAATGAATCGAACATTAAAAAAAATGTAATTTCTTAACTTTCAGTCAAACAGAAAAAGATAGTTTTTTTATATTAAGCCAAACATCAAAAAATTAAAATATTTTTCAAAAAATGAGTTATTTTCTAGAAATATTTTTTTTGAAAACATTTTTCAGGTTTCCAAACGGATCCTAATATAAAATGTGTTTGTGTTTGATTGTGAATAGGAATTGGAATCAAAATAAATAAATACAAATATAAGTAAATAATTGAATAAAAATATAATATATATATATATATATATATATATATATATATATATATATATATACACACATATACACATACTGACATAGACTTAGACACATGAATATATATTAAAGTTCTACATTGAAAATATGGATGATGACATTTTTTCTTCTTTTTTTTTTTTTGGAATAAGGTTCAAATTGGCCAATGAACGTAACCTGAAAATGCAATTAGGCCACTGAACGAAAAAAAAGTGCAATTAGGCCACTGAACACTCCAAATGTATGCAATTTCACCTAATAGCAGGTTACCATCAATTTTAGCAGGTTACCTGAGTTGGCATTTTTAATAATTTTTAAATAATTTTAATAATAATTTTTTAAAAACATTAAAAAATAAAATAAAATAAAATGACGTGGTGGCTGCCGTTTATTTTTTTATTTAATTTTTTTTAACTTTTTAAAGGTAATTATTAAAATTTATTAAAAATTATTAAAAATGCCAACTCAGCTGCCACGTAAGCAGGTAACCTGCTAAAATTGATGGTAACATGTTATCTGGTGAAATTGCATACATTTGGAGTGTTCAGTGGCCTAATTGCACGTTTTTGAGTGTTCAGCGGCCTAATTGCATTTTTTTTCGTTCAGTGACCTAATTGCATTTTCATGTTACGTTCAGTGGCCAATTTGAACCTTATTCTTTTTTTTTTTTTTTTTTTTCTGTCATTTTTAATTTTATTGTTCAAAAGTAGAGAAAATTGAGAGAATTAGAAGAATGAATTTTTATAAGTATTAAATAATTTAAATGTGATAGTAAAGTTGTAGAAATAAGCAAACAAACATATTACGGAGTAATTAACATCAAATCCCGGTTGGGATTCAACCTTTTGGAAGAATTAACATCAAATTCAATAGCCTATAACAGGGTAGAAAAGTACTTAATCGAACGCCTTTAAATAAGGTATATAAAATGGCAATTAATTACGGAGTATTTTGTTTTGTTTTGTCGGTAATGCACACAAACGTTGGTTAAAAGGGGCATGAGCTGTGGCTGATTCCGTGTGTCTTTCAAGTATACACTAATTCAATCATTTTTCTATTTATTAAATAGAGGATGAAGTTGAACATGCCACCTTTTATATTATTAGAGTGAAAAGAGAAACTTGTCATCACTACTAAAGTCTGAAAGTGCGACACATCGTATAAATCTTGTTATTGTATAATTATTTAGGGTGACCTACTGAAACACAAAGACCTCATTGGGGTTGGAACCTAGGACCTCTCATTTGAGGGGCCACAACTATGCCGCTCGATCACTAATATTGATATTTGGTTATATGTGACCCTATTAATGAGAATAAAAGTTTTAAAAATATCAAAAAAAAAAAAAAAAAAAAAAAAAGACAATTGATCATAATATAATGACATCCAAAGCACCAATATGAACAAAAAAAATCAAAACATAATTTTTTTTTTGAATGCTACTAACTCTATTACATTGTAGTATCTGTTCTATACTTTCTCAACATGCTGAAGCACTCCGCTGAGACTCGATCTTATGACCTCCCATATGGGAAAGTCACTACATGACATCTGAGCACAAATATAAAAGTACTAATCCAAACTTAAAAAGCATATTACCAATAAGATGGAATGATACCTTTTTAATTAGGGAATGAAATTTTTAATTAAAGAGGTAATCAAATCCCATAATTATGTTTTAAAAAGTTGTCAACCGAACACTAATTATGATTTTGATTCCCATTCCTAATGTGTAAACTCATGAACCAAACACGCACTTAATTACCTTTGCAATTTGATGTAATAACTCTTTGTATTCTTGTATTTTAGTTATATCACCATTACCATTTCAAACGAAATGTCACATATTATTGAATTAATTTCACAAGAGGTCTCTTATCTTTGGTGGCAATTCTAAATTTAGTCCTAGACTATCGTTTTTGCTATTTAACATTTCAGACTATTATTTTTTGGACACTTTTAGTCTTTCTCATTACTTTTCCTATTTTTAGTAAGGATATTTTTGTTTCTTCATATTTTTTTTTTGTTATTTTTCTGATTTCAACTGGTTTAATTGATTTAGGACTTTACTAAAAATCAGTTGAAAAATATGGTTACTAAAAATCATAAGTTACCTAAAGTTCTAAACCAATTAAACTGGTTCAAACGGTTTCACCATTACCATTTCAAACGAAATGTCACACAGTTCAAAGGGTTGGCATATTGAAACAATTGGCCGTTTGGTTTACGGAATATTAAATTACCTTAGGGAATGTTAGATTGCTGGGAATGTTAGATTGCTGTATTTGGTAAAAAATATATATAAAAGATAACCCTAAACCAAACATGATTATATTACATACTTTAATTTTTACCAAACACAGGAGATTTAGGGTTATCTTTATATATATATATATATATATATATATATATATATATATAGAATTAAAAATGGCAAAATTTATAAATATTCAAAATTATCTCACATAACCTAAGAAAATGAAATGAATCACATTCCCTTCAAAATCCTATGTGGAGGGAATGTTCCATTCCCTAGGAATGTTATATTTCCTCAGAAAATATGAACCAAACATAAGAATGTAAGCTCGGGAATATCACATTCCCTTAGTTATGTAATATAACCTGAACCAAACGCCCCTTAGGATGGGAATATATTACATTAGTAGCTGTTCCACATAATATGCAAGAAAGGTGATGAAGTTGTATATCAAAAGGTGCCTAAAATCTAGGCAATTAGCTTTAGATAATTAGATGTGCCAAAAAATAACAACTACTGTATTGCATATGAGCATTTCCAACACAAACGACACTCAAAGAATTAATGATTAATGTCTGTCTCTTTTTTCCCTCTTACATTGCTACTATTCTCAGGACATGATCCATATTCCTCTCTGCATCTGCACACACAAATATTTTCCTTACTTTCTGCATCACTCCGAAGGTCGAGCTGCGGGCAAGAAACAAAACATAGCTCTTCCTCAATCTGCTAATAACGTCGCAATAATATCATTAAACGAGGAACCAACTGCCGGCCAACCCAAGTAATGCTGCAACGTAACACATCTTCCTCGTTTCTGATTTACCTGCAACGAGTATATACCCGTGTAGTTCAGACCACGAAATTATCGTGTCATGTGAGTCACAACAACGAGAAACAATCTGCAGCTTAAGAATTGAAAATCGGTTGGATTATAGTTAATTTTATACACGCTTACCTGTTTGTAGTTGAAGATAGTTTTTCTGAACACTCCATTCTAAATCCCAGTGCTTTCTATCATTCTTTATAGTCCAGTAAGCCCATCCAAAAGACGCACTATTATATACGTCTAACTGGGCTCGACCATAATTTTGGTAGTCGATTTGAGAAGCACCAGTCGTGTTCCATTCGTTAACCCACTCTCCTGTAATCACTTCAATAAGCTTCAAAATCTGTTTAGTCCAATTTCTAATGGATGTAATTGAAGCATGTCTCCATCTCAACTAAAAGCCTAAGCTGATAGTTGGATTGCACATTAATGGTTATATGCTCAGGTTCCAAACAACACGTGGACCATAGTGGCTTTTAGGGTGACGTAGAGATTCAAACCCATGACCTTGGTCTGGCTCTGATACTGAAGCATGTGCTCCATCTCAACTAAAAGCCTAAGCTGATAGTTGGATTGCACATTAATGGTTATATGCTCAACAGATGTAAAGAAAAACTTACCAATAAAAACGAGTGGTCCATTTGCACCGTTCAAAGACTGAACTTGGGGTTGTCTACTATTATATATAAATTGAATATTCTCCTCGGCAGTTAGGTTATCAAAGTATCTGTCAAAGAGATTGTAGTAGTGCAAATCAACAACGGTATTTACCGAGCCTAGGTTAGCCTGGTAAAGTTCAATTGGATCTGCATTTCCAATTCTTTGGCAAAAAATGACATAAGCGGTTGAAGAATAGTTTCGAACAATCTCATATCCTTGCTTGTAAAACGGCACCAGGACATCCAACGGGACCCCTGCAGCAGATGGCTCGTTTAAAAGCTCAATTCCCAACAAGGCTGGATGCTTCGCATACCTGCAAATCCTCATCAAATAGAAGGCAGTTTTTTTTTTTTTTTTTTTTCTTTCAGCTTTCTGATTAACGATGCCTAGGTTAGAAACATAGAATCTACCTGTGGGCGAGAAAATCTATCACGTCCAAGGTTTTTGATATGGAATCTTGAGATGTAGGCCAGTCTGTTGTGCCGTCCCTATTAGCACTATGTTCCATCCAATTTTGGGAACCAGGGGCCGCATGAAGGTCAATAATGCACTTTATATCATAGGATCTGCAAAAAAGTTTTTTTTTTTTTTATAGTGCGAAAGCTGAGAGACACAAATGTCGAAGATGAACGACCTACTTACTGTGCCCAAGTGAATGCATTATCGAGAGCTTCTAAGGTTCCCCCAATGAAAGGGGCGGGAGGGTTGGGATCAAAAGCGATCCACCAACCAACAGGTATCCTAACTGTATTGATTCCATGCCTGTGAAGGAAATCAAAGTCGTCTACCGTGATAAAACTGTTCCTATGCTTCTGCAAAACACAGAAAGTCAGAAACCATGAACTATCAGAAATAGTCGATCAATTAATAGAAAACGAAACAAAGAAACTTACTTTAAGAACTTCTTTTGCCTTATCATGGCCATATCCGTTAGCAAGCTGGTAATCCCCATGATAATTATTTGACGCAATTATCATTTGAAATGTGGCAGCATTATCATCCCAACCTGGTGTCCCTCGATAGTCTGCTGTGAGCTGGTTGTCTTTTGAGGCCTAAAGAACAGTGTCATATTTCTTTCACACTAATCCTTTCTTAAATCTCAAAATCATCATTTGAGTTTACCTGCAAATAACCTCCATTTTTGAGTTTGATGTGAACTCTATTGTTATAGTTCCTTTCGACATAAAACGTCTCTGAATCAGAAGGCGATTGCACAGTTGCAGTCACATTGCCTCCGTTATCATTGCACGATAGAAACTGTCCCTGGGATGTTCGGAACTGAAAGATCGATTCTGATACCCTCCATAACTGCCAGTGCCAGGAAAAGAAAACACAATTAAGAAACTACTGAAAAACATTGTTTAATAGCAGTGTTTAAGGCGATTTACTCTAAATGTTTCCCATGATAACGGGGTATCTTTATCCACAGTAACACCCGAGCCACCCCCATTCTCTGCAGAAATATACTTCTGCAAAGTGAGAGATTTGAATTGGACCTCTGTACCATCCTACAGAACAAACAACAGAACTAATTAACAAATCAATCTAAGGAGAGGATTAACTAAAGGAACCATAGATAAAGATAAAGAGCCTACAAGCATGTCTCCATTGGGAATATCATCAAACAGAGAAGGCTTTATCCATCCTTCTATAACCAACCATCCACCTAAGTTCACTCCTCTAACTTTTGAACTTCCATGCAATCCCTCCACTTAAAAAGTGAATTATGTTACATTTTGATAAAATTTCAACAACTATAATCTTTAAAGCTAGAAAAGACATATCAATCAAGTGACAGACCAAACCTGAGTGCCCAATAGAAAAGATGAGAGAGCAGCACAGCAGAAAAGCACAGACCCATTTACAGAAAACAAGTTCCATGGAGAATGCAGAGCCACAGTCTCATCAAGGCATCTGTATAAGAGGAGAAAAAAAATCCGGAAATAAGGACAAAACACTATTTAAACCCTCCAAAAACCCAAAATTGAAAGACAGATAAAGGAGAGAATCTCAGTAATCCTTCCTGGTAACTCAACCAACTCAACAAAGGACCCCATAAAGAAGAATATATCTGCCCAGATAAATGATTATATAATTCCAAATTGCATTATTAAATGAACGAGGAAACCTCAAGAATGCAGACACAAATCAGAACAAGAAAAGAACTACATTCCTAGTAAGAAGGGGTGGGGGGGAAAGGGATATGTGTCACATTACACCTAAAGAAGCATAAATCACGAAAGCAAAAGGAAAGACAAAAAGAGAGAACCTTGCTTTGAGATCTGTCAAAGGGTGAAAGAATTTTGAAGAAAAAGGTAACCTTTCTTTTGAGTGATGAAGTAGAAGTAGTACATAGACAGCTAAAGAGTAGACGAAAGGCAAGGAATTTAAGGCGATGGTGGCTCAAACTTCCAGCACCACATCATACGCATGCTCGCTCTTGATTGCTTCATTCATTCTCTTTGTGTGCAACAATACAATTTAAATTCCGAGGAAAAAAACAAAAAACAAAACAATTAATGTGGGACTGTGTACTTGTGAAACTGAAAGTTGGAAGCTTGTCCTTGGACAGTTGGACTAAAGAATCCGAGAATGCTTTATTATGTTGTTAGATTTAGAAATGTTTAAAGAGATTAATGTGAAAGGAGAGTATAATGTTATGGCCACCGCCCAGCGGGACTTTATCCAGAACCGGCCTATTCCATTTCTTGTTAACTTATTAGTGAATTTAGTCAACAAATGAACAAATTTCATGGCCATAATGGAATCTTTCATTATCTTTTAGGTCGATGAGAATACTCGTGGGCCATTTTGTTTATCTCCGCAAGCCCATTACTATACCCAGTATTATATATATATATATATATATATATATATATATATATATATATAATACGGTTCAAATGTGGATGGTGTGCTCAGGTACGAACGTGGGGTGAGATGAAAGTCATTGATATTGTCAAGACCAACGTCTAGGATTAACAAGAATTTAAAAAAATATAGTGACAATTTGGTTTTTTACATCTAGGTCAAATTTAAGGTGCGTGGTTTTCCTTCTTAAAGTGTGTGATTTTCCTTCTTAAGGTGCGTGATTTTTGTGCTTAAGGTTCGTGGTTTTTGTGTTGTGTACTTAAGGTGCGTCAGTTGTTGAAACTTAAGTACGTCGATCTAAAGCTTTAGGTGCATGATTTTTCTTCTTTAACACCTAATTTACCAAATACATTTCTACAATCAATTAATATTATCAACTAGTTATATTCTTTAATTAACTCAATCAGTTAACAACTATTTACCAAATAGGGCTAAGCCTTCTTGGCTTCAACTAACCTCAGTTCCAAGTCACACATTGAAACCCTTCGATGTTAGCCCAGGGCCAAAGAGTAAAGGTAGGACTTTTAAAATATATAAGGGGTGAAAAGAGGCATGTTCTAAAGATCAAAATGGAGATGGGGTTTTATTTGAATAAGATAATGTGGATTTCTTCTAATTTAATTAAATGTCTTAAGAGGAAAAAATTGTGATCACACAAAAGAAACATTAATCAAGATATTTTCTTTCCCAATCATTGTAGAAAACTTTCTAAAAGATGGAAATTATTTAAAAGAAAATTTAATAAAATTAAGGAGTACTCTATATCATATATTTGAAAAAAAAATTCCAAGAAATAATTATCATATTCAATATCTAGTTTTAGTTGAAATGTGTTAATTTCCCAAACTTTTCAACAACATATTACTCTTAAAAGACATTTGGTATTCAAAATTATTCCCACTTTTGGTAAAGCCTTGATTTGTTAAACTTCAAGTTAATTATGAATCAAATTCCTTAATTTTGTTTGCAGTTTGTGTTTTTTCTCACATTGTTTTGACGAGTTTCTTCCACTCGTTTACTTGACGAGTTCTTCTTTATAAAGCGTGAAACGATAAAAGTAGTAGTAATAGTGTGTGTGTGTGTCTATATATATATATATATATATATATATATATATATATATATATATATATATATATATATATATATATATAATAGAAAAAATAATATAAAAAATTAAACACCATATAATCAGATAAATATCTTGTGAATGCTGAAGAATTTAAACCTGAAAGAGAGGCAAGTGTTGTACTGGAAAAAATAAGTCTAATAGCCTAATACCAGGGTGGGTCATTCTCGGGAACAATATTCCTCTGAGAATGTTATTTCAATCCAAGCCTATTCCATGAACCAAACGTGTTGTAAGTTTTTCTTTCTTTATTGGGGAGATTAAAAAACTCAAAATAGGTTCAAACTATTGTGGATGTTCAAGTTTAATTGTTTGTTTCATCATTTTTCATTTTTCTGCATATTGGTATTCATTTCACATCAATTGCGGTAGAGGCTATCTTGATAAATGGCAACACGCATCCTCACGTGTGCGGTGGCTTCACCTTTGGTCGGACTCTTATACCAAATTGAAATATGTGCTCCATCTTAACTAAATGCCTAAGCTGATGGTTATATGCTCAATCGTGTCTACAACTACTTGAGGGGCTCAAACCTATGACTTATATGAAAGAGCCACTAGACCACAAGATCATTGGCAATAAATCAAAAGTTTAAAATAACTTTAATGACAATTTAATTATTATGATTTTTAAGTAATACTAAATATGTTAATTAATTTTCATAACAAAATTATTCCTGCAATTATTTTTTCAAAAGTTTAATTGATAGAAAAGTAACAAGCGTCTCATAATTTGTAGTTAATAGAAGTATTTGTGATATAATATGATAGAAGAAAAAAAAAAGTTTGTCATTTCACATGAATTTTCTTGCCATAGACGACACATGTACTTATCATCATCTGTCACACATCAGCAAGTTGATTAAATATGTTGGCTAGGTAGCTATGGCTCAACTTTGACATGCATGAACCCAACTAAAAATTGCTTCTATCTTCCATAACAGTTCAAGTATAAGCATATAATTACACAATTATGAAACAACGATACAAACTTTTTCTTGACAATGACAATTCAAGAAACTAATCCAACGACGCATCACTGCTTTCCAAATTAAACAATTTTATTTTTATAATTTTAATAATTTTTTCAAGTGTTTATTATTACGTCAAAAGTTATACTTAGTAATGAATGTATAACTTTAATTTATTTCAGTATATATACTTGCATAACATTTTGCAGTGTCATGTTTCGATAGTAAAATGTTGTATTCGACTCTTCAAGATGCCTACAAACAATCATCTCCTAACACTTATTGGCCTCAATAATATTGCACAACATGAGAACTTATGACCTATTTTGATAGTAATTGTTAGGATCAAACACTACCATTATGTTAAAAGTTATAACTAATAATTAAGAAGTGCACAACTTTATTTTCTTGTAATTGCGTAAAAGTTAGGACCACATTTTCATGACTGAATTAAAGAGTCAATAATAACATTAATTTTTCTAAAGTTATATGCGCCAAATTAAACGGAAAAAAAAAAAAAAAAATCAGCTCGCCACTTCGGACTTTGCAAATACCCCATCCTCCTAATGGTTAAGAAATGTACTAAACATTACAACTGATGACAACGATATAAATAGATTAATAGATTATTTGAGCACATAATAATATAATAATATATAAGTGATTACAGGGAATGTGCATTGAACTTCACATTAATTACAAAATCCTTAATTATATTATGACGAGCGAATAACGTCGCATGCTGTTCCTGTCGTCGATCTTAGGGGTGTGCAAACTTCGGATAATTTTCGGTTAACCGACCGAACCGACAAATTTCGGTTAACCGTTTTCGAACCGAACTTTTTCGGTTCGGTTAATGGTTAAAGAAATTTTAAAACTTCGGTTAACGGTTAATTCGGTTCGAAAGGTCAGTTAACCGAATTAACCGAACGGTTAACCGAAGTTTGTAATATATATATAAATAATAATATAAATATAAATACTAATTTGAAGTTATGGATGTTTGGAGTTTATAATTAATGTTTTTGTATATTTTGTTATGAATTTATTATAATATGTATTTTATTTTAATTGGATTTATTATTTTAGGTGTTATTTTTAGAATTTTAAATTTTAACTTTAAAAAGTTCGGTTAATCGGTTAACCGACCGATTAACCGAAAAAAATTTCGGTTCGGTGAATTCGGTAGAGAAAACTTCGGTTCGGTTAACGGTTAAAAGAAAAAAAACTTCGATTAATTCGGTTCGGTTAAAACGGTTCGGTTATCCGAACGGTTAACCGATTGAACACCCCTAGTGGATCTTTCAAGCAAGTAGGGATAATAACAGTCCCTTGTTTCTCAAGCGACAATAGCTTTCAAGGCATTAATTAATATAACATTAATATATACTATACCTAGATTGCCTCTCAGATCATATTATTAGTGTTTTAATTTATGCTTGAATTCGTCGAGAATGCTTTTGTTTTGCACGCATATATGGCGCTGTTGGGTTGTTACATTGCTTATTTTTGTTTGGATAATTGATTAGCTATTATTCGAGGGTATACATTGGATAAATAATCTTTTAATACTAAATGTGTAAACTTGAAAAATTCTAAAAATTACAGATTTTAGTATCCAGGCTTGCATAGTAAAATTGATGATAATTTTAATTATTACATAAAGTGTCAGAGTTCACACCTTCAAATAGAGATAGTAGATTTATCTAATCACCAAAAAGAATAATTCGATTTATGAATATGTTCCTATGTTTATTAAAATTTGATTATGTTCATGAATCAGGAAGAAAAGACAGACAGAGAGTTTTGTCCATCTATCAGCACAATTCCAAGTAGATGAAAAATATGATTTTAAAAATTATTTATATCCAATTAGTGGACTGAATTTTATAAATTAATATTTAAAATAATAATTACTTTTTGTCCAATTAGCAAGACACAAAAGTGGGAGAAAATTCAAAATAAATGAAAAGATAAGTTTCAAACTCCGTGACATTTCATCCCCTAGGTGTAGTGGTTCTGTGACTTAGCTTCTTTCCAACTTGTGCACTAAAAACACGCATGTACATATGGAGAATCAACCTTCCCATGTATATATACATTAGAAATCATATCAGAATCAATTTCTCTATAAATTTATGAGAATTAATCTGCTGCATTAAAAAATAGAATTATAGATAAAATTAATTGAGGGAATTAAAAACGCACGTATGCATATGGAGCATTATAATGTGTACATATTAAGTATGTTCCTTTGTTGCACACAATATAATGCTTCATATGCACAGGTGCGTTTTTAGTTATCCCAATTAATCTCATCCATACATCTATTTTTTTAATGCACCAATTTGGTTTTTAATGTACCAAATGGGTATTATTAAGTGAAATTTCATCAATGCCCTCCAAGTTAACGTAATTCTAACGCTTGATCGAACGGAGGATCAAAATGATTAATTTTTTCAAAGTTGAGGACTTAATTGAAGAAAAAAGTTATCTAAGACCAAATTAGTAATTTTATAATAGTTGATGGACCATTGCAGTAATAAACTCATTGTTTAATTAACATTTCAAATAACGACAAATTCAAGAGGCTTCATTAATACTTACGGAGAGAAAGAAAAAA